TTTTTCTCAAACCGCAGTTTATCAAAACTGGACCACTCCGTCAAACCTAGTTTCAAACCGCCGAAATGTAATTACTATTAAGCATAAATTATACTATATTAATCATGATGATAATTGTTTTTAATGTTGATATCTTAGCCTAAAAATATAGTAAATTAATAGTAATTGTTTTTAAAACATAGTAAAAGTATACAACAAAATTTATTGTGTTATTTTTTTTTATTTTTTTATTTTTAGCATTATCCAACAAATATCTAATAGAAAAAAATGCATAATTTACCATAATTTTGTGCACACCTACTATTTATGTAATTTTAAATAAGTATATTTTTTATTTTTTTTATTAATTAAATGACAATTATTTTTATTTTAATAAAATAACATAAATAATATTTTTTACCACAACCGCCAGCACCATCTGCCCACCATTCAGAATAGATGGTCTTAGTTTGAGTTTTTTCTAAATCGCCCTTTCGCAAAACCATACTCCCATTTGGTTAGAGGATTCGTTCTTGATTCGAATCATGGTTCATGATTCGCTATAGTATTTTCTCTCATAAAAAATACACGTAAATTGAACATGATTCTAATCTCATAATTTTGATCCATGACCCAAACAGGCTCTGAAAGAAGAGGCTGACACTCTGGAGCTTCACGCCGTTGAGAATTCCACCCACAAATATCTTTTTTTTTTTTTTTTAATAATAATAATCACCCTAAACATAGACCCAAATTATTTTCACCCTCCAGCAGCAATTCACGTCTTTATTGTCCGTTTTGAACGGAAAATTTAACAAATAGAGCCAAGTGAGATTTATTTAAAGTTTAAAGCACTGCCATGACAAAGTGGAAACAAGTATTAAGTTGGCCAGGGGCAAATTGGGAATAAATCTTTATTTTACTACGGAAGGATGAGTATTTTCTTGATTTGTGTTTAAGAGAACTTCCCCGGTTCTTTTCACTTTTACAAACTAAAAGTCTAAAAACAATTTAAAGTTAAATCAAGAAAACATTTTAAAGTGAAATTAAAGAATGCCATGCACAACTGATCGGATGAGATTGGGAAATATGAAAATGAATCTTCTACAGCATGTCAAAGTTTCTCAGCAAAATTAAATCTCGTTTATTTTACCGAATTCAAATTTAAAATTCAAGTTTTGCTACAATGAAAAACTCTACAAAACAGTCACATCTAATTTTTTTGTTACAGTAAAAAGCTCTCACGTAAAGTCATATCTCAACTCGAATTAAAAACTCAAATCAGTGAACTAAACGGATCCTCAATGATCAATTGCTTCTTAAAAACCTATTTAGCTGATGCTTACATACAGCCCAAAAAAGGTCCTCAGTTAAACATATTAGTATTTTTACCTCTAACACGTACATCCTTAGTTACAGACTTACAGTACTCAACTGCAGACTAGCTCAAAAAGAAAAAAACACTGAATACACATTCAAGACTAGGCAAAATGAATTGTGCGTCAGTACGGAGGCAAATGCAGTCGCTAGATTCGCAGTGTATTCAAAAGCGGAAGGAATCATCAGGCCCATACCTGCTGCTCCTCATATTGTAGCGATCAAATTTCGGGTTGTCATAATCCACTGCCTTGACATCAACAGGTTTTTGCTCCGCTCCAACCGCTCCGAAAACCACCTCACCGCTCTTTTCCCGCTGCCGATGCCTGCTTCTTTCTTTCTGGCTCTTAGACCTCCCACCAGGAGGAACCTCACTGGATCCATAGAATTCTGCATATTCTTGTCGTTTTGAAGACCGTTGCTTGCTTAACAGAGAGGGATCCTTAAAACTGCTCGATTTTATCTTTGGTGGCTTCAAGTCTGAGTACTTGTCACTTGCATTGGGTGGATGGACCGGCCGAGTTTCAGAAACAGGAGTAGGAGCACTTTGTTTCTGAACTAATGGGGGTTTTTGGGCTTCATCTTCAGGCATCCTGAGATTATCTTTCAATGGCGTGAGACCTTTCTGGGCACCATGGGGTCTGAAACGGGATGGAATGAAGTACAGAAAAATGCCACCCAATGCTTCAAGCCCGAGCTTGGACAGATCAATGATGAGCTGTCCAAAAGACGGCCATCCCGGTTCTTTTGTGCTTTCCATGAGAGTGTGTTTCTCCTCACTTGGCTTTCCTTTAGCTTCGTTGTCTGATGGCGGCTGGTAAAGTCAATAAACCGTAAACCAAGTAAATATGTCAACAAAGACGCTTAAATTTTAAACAGGCACAACCAAAATCAATGGAGTAGAAACCACTTGTTCTTGAACAAAATAAGAGGAATCTGATAATATCATGGAATAAGTTTTGATCTTATTCATGGGGATCAAACATCCAAAACCCTATAAAGCAAGCTATTTCAGTGTCTATATTGGTAGCTGGAGCAAGGAAGACCTAAAACCACAGACAAATTAGGATCCACAGGCTAAGCTTTTCTCTAATAATTGGAGCTAGCACTCAAAGCAAATTTTACATGAACAATATTTGGCTCAACACGTTCTATTCTACATAGACAGGAGAAAAGCCCGATCGATGTTCTTTGAAACATGATGACATATATTATACAAGATCAGTTTTTTTTTTTTCCTCGGGCGGAGTGGGTGGAGGTGGAATAGTGGGATAACCTGCAATACCACAGGCACTTGAACCACTTAAATACTTCATCTAAATGCAGCTTATTTGAACAACTTGAAGGGGAATGTAAAAACTGAATTTAACTTAAAAATCAAAGACTATTGGTTGCAAGAGAATTGAGGAAGATTATATTTGCTTGGTAGGATTATCATGACTTTGCACTCTATGAAATCTTAAGGGGAATACCATCTTTGGGAAGAAAGAAGGTCCAAATCCCTGCTGAAGCATGCATGTAGCATATCCTACCAAGACAGTGCCAAGAACCATAAGGACATCTGCCAAAAGACACAAGAAATGTTAGTCGGAATATGGTGTAATCCGAATGAAGTCAAAGCTCTTATTACAATCAAGCAAAAGTCGACGCCTTCTCTTCTTCTTGGCAAAGAAACAATGCAAACACATACTTTTGATGAAAAGTTTGAGTGGTTTCTTCTCTTTCCTCCTATTTCTCTTTTAACAGTCACAAAGAAAGATATTGGACATAACATTTTCCAAAAATTTTAATAACAAAAGATCTGCTATGAAGCATAGTGTACAAGAGAGAGTTATGACCAAAAACTGCATGTTCCTCGACTGCAAGTGACAGATCTAAAATTGCACCGAGTCATATGATCAATAGAATGCCCATTCATGAGGTTGGGATATAGTGCAAATGACAAAGAGTATCAACATCTAAACTATTCGGATTAATACATATTTGCTTCCTTTGACACATATTGGCCGCCTCCATTCTATATCGTACAAATGGAGCTGATTCTCTTGGAAAAAAGATGTAATAGTCTCTCACAAAAAAATCGACACTTCTGAAAGAAAATGCCAGAAATGCAGATACCCATGAAATAAGTTTCATACTGTCAGTATTAAAATATTCTAACAAACTGCGGGAAAACTTAGCATGAGCCATGAAGTCCCCAACAACTAAATATAACAGTTATCAAATGTCTCCAACGTATAATTTGCACAGGAACTGAATCGTTATTATTTTACTTTCGTTAATTCCAGCAGTCCAAATTGCAGTTCCTTCTTTGTCTTCCTTATCAAGATCTTTTAAAGGTCTGAAACCCAAACTATCCACGTAGTCAGAATCGAGACTTAGCTTAAAATTGATTCAGGAAGAGAACATTAGTTTAAAATCTAAATAACTACAATTATTTGTTGGTAACCAGCAAAGGCAGCCGTCTACTACCATTTCTAATATCTGAAAATCATAAACAGCCATAGAAATCGCATGCAGCAACAATTCTGTTGGAGTGCTGTTTCAACACCAAGTTTATTCATTTAAGTGAATCTTATGTCATCTATAAGTCAGGGGGATGTCTTATGTTTATATAGGATATGGGTATTAGAAGAGTTGCTACAAATGGCCAGCACAGGCATTTGTACAAGATGAAGAAAAGCTCCGAGAAAATGAAGCATTGTCAATTTTCTGCAGACCTTCATGTAAGAATCACATTCCCAAGACGAAGGCACCTTATGAGGCATATATTCTCACCAATCACCTTGCGTTTTTTCATAATTTCAAGACCTTAAAAAGTCTTGACTAACTCTCCACTATGAAAGATTGCACAAGAGATCTTCCATTTAATCATCTTAATTCAGCATTTCTAATGAAAACATTTCATCAAATATCACTTCTCTAGCAAAGTCGACTTACTATTACTTTATGTGTGTCACTTAAAAAGTGGAGGATATAGAAAATGTCTATAATTTTAAGAAACCCATATTGCTTGAGTTATATAAATTTATGACACTATAGTTGTTACCATGATATAAGTTAGTGTGACTGAGCCCGAGACAAGTGGAAAACGAAGTGAATTCCATGGCTATAGTGGCTACATACTTGGTATAAATATATTTCAAAAAGTGTGTGCGCGCACACGTGCGTCTAAAAGATGCTTGAATAAAAGAACAAGAATGTTCTCACTTTTTTAAAAATAAATAAATAAATAAAAGAATAAAAAAGGGCATTTTAGATCCAAACCTGTGGGAGAAATTGAAGTATACTGATAATCACAGTCCTCTTCGCTGAGAGAAATTTGCCTAAGTGCAGCATTCCCTCTATCAACAACTAATAAGGAACAAGTAGGCCGAATGTACACGACATCAAAATCATTTGAGAATTTAGCATCCTCACTAGGTCCATCTCTGTATCCTGCAACGTTTGATTTTCCTCCAGCAATGGTTGTGACACCTGGCAAAGTTCCACATTTTTAACAATGTATTCAGCATATCAATACGCATGCCATTTATAAAAAGAATTTCCAACTCATGATACCAGCTTTATGGTTCCAATTTAACTAAACAATCCCTTTCTTCACATTTATTTCTGCTGGGTTCCATTTTGATTTTGTTGTGTTTTGTTTTGTTTTACTGCTCTTTCTTAAAGTGATAGGAAAGCTGGACATCTTCTCAAAATGTTGCATAAGAAAATATCAACCATTCTTTTTCAAAACAAACATATAAAAAACTAGAAAAGGGTCTTCAAGTGGGGCCTTAACTTCAGCTACCTGAACTTACACATGGAATTTTTTTTTTTTTTGATATTCTAGCTATATATTTAGTCTCAAAGGTACGAGCATTCATATCGATAAGCTTCTAAATGTTATCATCAAATAAAGGTTAACAAAATATACCAGCATCACTGATCTTTCTGATGGCGAGATTCAAGGTATCAGCAACATAAACATTCCCTTTATCATCCATGGTAACACCTTTCGGATGATTGAAACGGGCATCACTTGGTTTTCCATCCACATGTCCCGTGTAACCTTGAAATGACCCAGCAACCAATCTTGCCCTACTATCTGCAACAACAAAAAGAAAATTAATGAATACGAAAGGTAACGAATCGCAAGTAAGAATCAACATATTCGGAACCTCATATAAATGGTGACCTTCACATAAACCTCATTACTAAAAAAAGTTAGCATATAAATGAAAAACTCCAAGAAACGTCAGATCAATGAAACCAAACAAATGAATAGAGCTTAGTTTCACTGAATTTACTGTTTAATTTCACAAACGATTTCTCGTACCTTTTTCTAATAACCTTCCTAAAAACGTAAATGGGTTAGAGGACCAGTTTGAACACAACAATACCAATACGAGAAGTTGAGCAGATCCAATAAGTAAAAAATTCAAACTGTAACAAAGTGACAACAAATAGTTATAGAGATAGTAGACAAGAACAGTCTCAACAAAGGTAAAGCAAAAATAAACTAAAATTCGCATTACATTGGGACAATGGCGGCGTAATTCGCACAACGTTGCTATTAACAGAATCAACAGCAAACAGTTCTCCATCCTCAGAAACACGGATTTTGTAAGGAACAACTCCAATATCATTCCCTTCCACAACAGTCTCAACTAAGTAGCCACTCTCAAACTGAAGAACATTTCCATCTGCAAGAACAACATACAAAAAAAAAAAAAAAAAGGGTGCCCACAAGTTTAAACATAAACCCTCCAAAAAGGGTAACAAAAGAAAACAACAAAAGAAATCTGAAGCTAAAACAAATTACAGAAAACAAACTGAAAACAGTACTGATTTCGAAAGAACCTGATTGGGGTGTTTTGGAGGACGAGTATGACCTGGTCCATTTGAGAAGAGAAGACAAGTGCCTTATCAACGGTCCTGATTAATCACGAAATTTCAATCCCAACCAAAAAAAAAATATTAGAAGGGCCAAAACCAAAAAAAAACCCACCAACTAAACAAATCAGAGAAACCCAAATAAGAAACCCAGAAATGGTTTTTCTTTTATCATTTTTCTCAGAATCAACATAAACAGCAAACGAACCATGACAAGAATCGAAGAAAACAAAACATGCCCAGAACAACCCACAAACCAAAGAGATCAAAAATATTCAAATCAAAAGTTTTCGGGCACCTGAAGGAGCTGCGTGAGCTTGGAACTGAAGGGTGTAAGTAATGGCAAGCGTTGTTAGAGCGAGAAAGAAAAGGGAATTTCTTCCCATGGCTTTCTCTCTCTCTCTAAGTCTGAACAAACCCCAAATAAAGAGAGATCAGAAAGAAGATTTTGAGAGTTGGGAAATTTATTTTTTATTTGTTTTCAACTAAGGCAGGGATGGCATTGAAAGAGAATGAATGGAAGTGCACGTTTCGTGTTGGGGTGTGAAGTAGCAACTGGGGTTGTTTCTTGTTCACCACTTTGAAGAGCTGAACTTTGGTTTACTGCGAGTGATGCAGTACACACTTATTTTTTTATTATTATTTTTTTCTTTCTCTAACTTTCTCGCTTCTTTTCATTTTTCTTTCACCTTTACTTTTCTTTTAAAATCAAACTTTTAAAGCCTTTACTTTTCCTTTTTAACATAAAAGAGAGTTTTTCACATAAGAAAACGGCCGTTCACTTAGATCACACTCAGAGTAAATTTAATTTTAAGTGTAAAATTAAGTTGAGTTATAAATTTATTAAACGCAATTTAAATTTTAAATTTGAGTAATAATTTGAGTTGGTGAGTTTCACTCACTTATTATTTTTTTATTATTTAAGTTTAATTTTACAGTGTACATTATCTCTATAGAAAAAGACATTTTTTTTGTAATTGGAGTTTGGTTTTAATACAAGTGAATATAAAACTTAAGTTTTAAATGTCAAATCAATCTCTTCCTCAACAATTAACTCAAAGTCCAAAGTAAACTCAAATTTTTTGTAACTCAAATTCACTTTCTTAACTCGAATCAACAAATTTAAATTAGTGAAGTGAACGCGTTTAAAAATTACTTTCAAAGAAGAAAAGAGGAGTAGAAAAGACAAAGAATAGAATACTATTTAGTATTTTATTTTAGGGGAAATCTATAGTAAGGTGAGTTAAAATTTCCTAGCAATAAGGATAAATAACTAGAGATGTAATAATAAATCAAGGTCTGTAGATTAGACTCAGATAATTCTTATAAGACCGGTCTGACTCGGCCTATAAATTTCATAAATTGAGCCGGCCCGGCTCACGGCCCGCGTGGGCTTAAGGAGGCTCAGTTCAGCCCCTTTTTGCATCTTTATAAATAACTATTGGATTAAAATCTTAGAATACCGAATTATAATAAGACCTCCCACATTTAATAATTATTATAAAAGCTAAACTAAAAAAAATTATTGTCTCATTTATTTCACCGATTTGAGTTTTTAATTTTATATTTTTACAGTAAAAAACTCTTAAAAAATATCACATTTAATTTTTTTTACTAGAGTGAAAAATTCTCAGAAAATATCACATCTCAAGGCCTATATCTAGACGATTAAGCCCCTTCTTCTTATTCTTCTTCTTCACATCTCCATCACCGCCTTCTTTCTTCCGCCGCCACCGGATTCAGTACCCTAATCAAATTTGTTGATCGACTAACGATGACTTTAAACTAGAGTGAATATCTCTCCCAGGAGGAGATCGGCCTTGTTCTTCGATGGTGGCGCCGATGACGTTCTGGCAAAGGGCTTTTTTCCGACGGCAGCGTAAAGTCTTTGACCCTCGACGTCAGCAATAAACCACGACTTGCCCGTCGTTCAAGCCAGATTCTACTCACGGCGGCGCAATCAACTTTTGTACTGTTTATATTGAGAATTGGTTCTATATTCTAGTAGTTAGGAGTACAGAAATATTTGAATTAGTTAGAAGTTTGGAATACAAGTGAATTGATTATAGCTTTCGTATTAACAGAGTGTTGTAACAAATGTAAAAACTAACGGGTTCATTTTGTAAACAGAGATAGAGAGAGAGAGAGATAGGTTTAGATTGAATTCTCTACTGGAGATTTTCTCTTAGAAGGATTTACGTTTGGGCTTCTCTAGTGTAATCTTCTGTTGGTTTTGTGGATCTCAGTAGTAAGAGAATTTCTTGTTCAATTTCATTGTGGTGTTCTTCTATGAGATTCTGCTTAAGAAAATGGGAGAAAATCACTACAGTTTGATTAATTTG